CCAATATGATCACCGGGTCGATAATCTAAGAGTCGGTATCGAAATTAAAGTCGAAGAATTTGTTTGTGCTTGGTAACGATTGTCCATAACAAGTGCTTTGTCGTTCTTGGCTCCGAGCATTACATTGTTAGATTTGATTAGTTTTTTTCGTTTCTATTCGAATAACTTAATTTGACGGAAGATAATTAATTTATTGGTTTCTTTAATGGTGGGACAATATCGGTGATTAGTTATAAATATATTTTTTCCATGTATTTGTGAAAAATTACAAATTTACACGCGTGACTGTTTTTAATCTGCACGCAGCATCGACGGACAAAGGGAAATTCTAATCTAAACGTAACCGAGAGCTCGGAGTTAGAAAAATAATAAAAGAAAAAAGAAAGAAAAAAAATCAGTGGCCTAAAACTTTAATAAAATCATTCATCCGTAATACTACTTAAGCCTCTGTATCTTGAATCTTGAAAATCTTGAAAAAGTAAAAGTAAGCTTCGTTTTCTCATAGCCTAGTTTCAATATCCTCCGCATGCACCGATAACCATTATTCTCGAGAGTGCGCCTGCCTCTCACATCCCTCATTACGCGTTTCTACCGCCTCTGTAATTCTCTCTCTCTCTCTCTCTCTCTCTCTCTCTCTCTCTCTCTCTCTACCTCTCAGTGCGCGTGCGTATGCACCGGCGTATGTGAGAGGGAACCAAGAAGCCGAGTGCGGCGCGAAGGCACGAAAAAACAGGTTGCGAAATATAATTTTATTCGAACTCTCCTGCTGGTAGTGGGAAGTGGTCGACGGGGGATCGACAAAGACGGTGCATCTGAAAGGGAAATATGGGACGACGACGGGACTTCAAGGGCGATCGTATGCCATGGAATGGTAAATTTATGCCGCGTAGTGGCGGAGAATCGAGCCCCTGAGCTCCTTCTGCTGGCAACTACATTGCGTGTGTGTGCGTATGCGTTGGTGCGCAAGCGGAACTCTACGGCTGTCCTTAGCCGGCGCATACTAGGAGCGCGAAATCGCGCGCCAAATTTATTTTATCGCTTATTTTATAGAGGCGCCGAACCATACTTTTATTTTCCGACGATGTGCTACTTATGCGCTACTCTGGTCATTCGAATTTTCTTTCATACTTTATCGACGAGTAGCTCAATCTTGTAGTAAATATTACTCACCAAATCAACCGAATTCAACATATCGTGAATCCTTCTCCGGGAGTGATGCGCTACCTTGCCACATAATGATCGGCACTGGGAATCCGCCTCGGCTTTCGCTCGTGAGCAAAAGGGAGCTCGCTCGCGTATAATAAAAATGACGGAGATACAAATTTCGGGAAAAAAGCTAATGGAGGTGATTAATATGCCGTGATCCACTGGATACGACAAGTACATTAATCAATGCGTCATCGTGTCGGATTTTATGTGCGTTTAAAATTGTCCAATTTGGACACGATAAAGTCGAGGGAAAATTATTATCAATCAAACTTGAAATTAGCGCGTGGATGGAGCGTCGGAGAGGAAAAAAAGGTCGCTGATACTACCTACGCCTCTTCCGTTTCCCACCTCTCTTCCCATTAATCCACGTATGCCCGCACTCGGATATTGCCCGGCACACGCGTTCTACACGCCAAATCTAAAATAATCCTTGTCTAAGATTGAGCAGTATCCGACACCCCGACAGAAGATCATCAATTGTTGGGGCATCGACGGCCGACACATCGGTTATAATCGACCGCTCTAGGAGCGCATACAAAGATACCGCCGTGCGAAAACAACGACGACAACGACGACAACGACGACGACGACGACGACTTTAGTCATTTTACCAACGACGACACGCAATAGGCTGGACACTATAATGGGCCGTAAGTGATACAAGGGGCAAGGGGTAAGGGGAACCGAGGTTGGAAGAGGATGAGGATGTACCGAATCGAGGTCGTTCATTATTTGGAAATTAAATGGAATCGACCCAAGTCCTCGTTATTCGTTTATTTAATTCAATAATTGCTAATTATAATTGCGAGCGCGTCACAGGATGAACTCGCGCACGTGCTCGGCAGGTGCCGGCCGATTCTTTAAATAATTCGTTGCGGGATCTGGCGTACGTAAATTGCATTCGGCTTGGGTTCATTCGGTTGGATTTACGATAAAAGCCTGCAATTTTGCCAAAGTGTGTGAATGTATTCGAGCCCGGTTGATGTAATTTCATCCAAGATGCCTGGGCCACGGCCGCGCCCCGCAGAATTACCACAAAAACTTAAGGAACGGAATGCAATAATCGCCCAACCGAATTGCCATGCGGCTGCCGAAACAAGGTGTCCGCTCTTCTGCCCCCCCCCCCCCCCCCCCCCCCCCCCCCCCCCGCCCCCAAAGTAACCACGCCCCATGTCAATCGGATCGGCAGTCTCACTGACTCATCACACCGCCGTCTTAGCCGAGAATTTAGGCACCGTTCCTCCTCTTTTTCATCCGCGAATAGCGCCGAATTTGCCTTTGCGTAAATTCGCTTTTACTCGAATCCCTGCGGGATGTTCCCAGTAACAAAACTTGGTTTCGTTAATGCGTTATGCCCGTAAGTGCGAATAATTCCACGATTTCCAGAGCCAGCGCTGCCCGAGGCTTGTATTATTAGGGCGCGGGACTAGAGTGGCGTCAAGGTATCGGAGGCAGATTCAAATTGTCCGCGAGGAGGTATGCGCGACCCTTAAACGCGAGAAACGGAAAACGCTGATTGGAAATATTAGCGAAAGTGCGAGAGAGATAATGAGCGTATGCGTAAGCGAGCTGCGAGATGGTTAGGTAGGATGGTAATGGAGAAGGATGATGGATTCCACCGAGTGACCTCCTTACCGAGAAATGAGGAAAGCCCCAGGACTACGGGCCACCGGCCCCCAAGGGTTGTTCTTGAATCAAGGCTGTTATAGCGAGAGAATTATAGATTTCTGTAATTGGGGGTATAATTTTATAATTTTATGGGGATCTGGTTGTTAATAAATAGGCAGTACATAGATCATCGATGATCGTGTTATTTTTAGAAACCGTTGGACGTTCTACGTCGTACGTACATGGTACTGCAATAAATCGTTGCTGAATTGGCGAATGAGATTTTACGAAAAATACATGACAATTGTGATATCCGAACGTAATAATTCGCGACATTGATGACAATCGATCTACCAGTATATTGTAAATAATTATTAATGCTATGGTGCATAAATATTTCCAGTTTTTCTTAAATTCGTAAACTCGAGAAGAAATCACCGTGGCGTTAAATAACGTTTGAAATGGTTTTATGACGAATGGTGAGTGACGTGTAATTGAAATTATAAAAAATGGTGTGTACCTGCACAAATATTGTGCAGGATTATCTGCTACAAGTCAGTATCGTAAAAAAAAATGCATCAATGTCTGTATTTAGTATAGAAGAATTCCTTATTCGTTTTAAGCTAACGACAATTTGAGCGTTATAATTGAAATGGGTCGGCCGGCATTGAGAGGTCGTAATAATAATTCCTTGTTATATTTCATGAATATATATTAAAATTATCGACAAGCATCGGTATGGAAATTCTCAAGTTAATAATTAAGGTGCGAAAGTTAAGTCGAAATTGGGATAATATAATGAGCGTCCAACATAGCGGTGAATAATTTTTACATGGATAATTGGAAGGCAAAGCCACGGAGAAAACAAGAAAGCAAACGAAGCGGAACTCTATACATCTAGACAAGTCTGAAGTTTCACCCTTTGAAAAACCTCGCGTTCCGCGGCAAATTATTAATTCAACATTTAGAAATGCAGGATAATCATGATCCTGAAACGAATGACCTTGTTGAAATGTGAAAAGATTTTCAGTAAGGGAGAGACGTGGATGGAGACGTGGATGGAGACGTGGATGGAGACGTGGATGGAAACGTGAATGAAGACGAGCAATTCAATGTTCATCAAATTCACGCAAACTTTTGCATTCTAGCACTCGAACCCAGATTTTCGTCTCATTATTAGGACATATTGCACGGTTGACGCGTAACTGTAAAAATTCCATCGCTCACTCGCTCTTACGTATACGAATACACATAGGCGCTTTTCCATTATGTTGGAAGTGGTTCAGTTTGCGCTCGGAATACTGCTTTTTGAATTTATGCGCGAAAAAACGTGAATTGTGACTGTCAGTTATGGTTTTAATTTTTTTTTTTTTTTTTTTTTTTTTTTTTTTTTTTTTTTTTTTTTTTTTTTTGATTATCGAATGGCAATTATACTCAAATCTTAATTTGATAATTCCTTCTCATCGATATAATATAATATCATCTAACGCTATTCAATCGTTTCCCATACGATTGGCCTATTTGCCTTTTCCGGCATTTCCATAATAATAAAATTTAAAGATAAAGAAATAAATAAACAAATTATTAAGTCATTTTTACTTGTGTCATGTGAACGATAATTATCATACGATAGAAAAATGTGAATTAATTAATAAAACTATTTGTTTTAAATAGGCCGTGCTGGATACTGACGATCGTCTTGATCGTCTTGATCGTACTTTCTCTCTCTCTCTCTCTCTCTCTCTAGTCTCTCTCTAGTCTCTAGGGCTAGGTTCGTACTACATACAGGCTTCAAGAGAAAGAGGAGAAATCGAGAGTAGGCCAACATTAATTAAAGACGTGTGTACTTATACACTCAAGGCTCGGCAACGTGTCGTAACTTTTTCCATGAGAGCCCAAAAATCGTAGGCTAACGGTATACAATTGCAAAATTAACAATTAGAAATATTTATGATCACGAGATAAAGATTGGATTTCATTTCGAATAAGGTGTACTGCATCGATAATTGTCACGCGTCACGGCAAGTTTCTCCCAATTTCAATATACTCCGATGATAATTTTGAATTTTAGATGGATTACACATAGTCGCAATTCGTTGGACGAAACGTCACCAAGGGGTGACACTTTTGGTAATAGCGGGAAGGACGTTGAACGCCGAGGAAAGCAGTCTTGGTCAACTTACCCCTTGGCCGCGTGCTCCGAGCAGGCGAAGACCTTGGGAGGCTGGAGCTGGCTGTCAGCACCTCGCAACCGCTCCACGCAAAACTCCTCGGTCGGTATATGCTGACCGTCGACGAGGAGACTCGCGTCAGGCTGGAGCACAGCGTCTCGCATGTCGCCGACGATGGTGAAGTTGTCGAGTCGCGGACAGACGGGAAAGCCGCTGACGATCTCCATACCGGCGGTAAGATTGCCAAGTTTGCCGTTGGCCCCAGCCAGGAGAAGAGCCTGCTCCTCCTCGAGCGACATCGGGCTATCGGTCTCAATGCCCACGCACGAGTTCCTAATTGAAGTGTGAAAAATAGAGAGTAAGAGAGAGAGAGAGAGAGAGAGAGAGATAGTTAGATTAAATAACAGTAGGTTCGATGTTGCAACGTTTTGTAGTTGGCAAATTATCGGAATAGAGACAGAGCGGGTAGGGTGAATGGATTATAAATACACGTGGATTGTGGTATCACGCGCATGCACGGTATTTTCGTCCGGGCCAGGAGCAACGGGCTAAGGCGTGACGGGGTGTTGTTGAGTGAGGGGCGGCGAGGTGTCGGTGTGACGAGGCGAGGTGTGGAGTGTCATGGCCCTCGGCCGTGCATCGGCCACTCGTGCCGTAGCGGAAGTAAACAAGCGATCAGCTGTCTGTCCGTCCGTCCGTCCGTCTCTTTTTACCTCTCGTAAGCCGCGCTTTCGCCGCAGCACTTGCGCAACTTGGGCCGCATCGTCGCCGCGGCCTGGTGACTCTCGTTCCTCCGGGGTAGGCAGGCCAGTAGAGTATTGGAGCCGAGGCAGAACTCGTCGGGCTTAAGTGGGACGGTCGTGCCGGCCTCGAGCACCACCTCTCCAAAGTCAAAGAGTACGAAGGGATTGTACTTGCTGTGGGGCACGTAACGCAAGAGCCGGGGCTCCGGGCATGCCGGGCGCGCGGCCTCGAGGACGGTCCAGGTGGCCGGGAGGCCGGTCAAGTAGGTGCGAGCCTCGGGCGAGTAGACGAGGGGCTGAAATGGCCGGGTCGAGGGTACGCAGCGCACCTCGGCCTCGGGGTCGATCGGTTTCTCAAGGTCCTCGCCGGCGCGACAGCATCGCAGGATACTCAGGGTCGAGCCACTGGCCGAGTCGTTGACCTCGAGCGCGGCCGCGAGCGCGAGTAAGAGCGCGAGGACCGCCAGGGCTCGCGGAGCCATGACGCTTCGCTGATCGGCTTAGGAGGTGCCGGGCCGCCCCCGCGCCCGGTGGGGGGGGGGGGGGGGGGGGGGGCTTTCACTCGCTCCTTCAAAATTTCCTTTGACGAGTGAGAATGCGTGGAAGGTCAACGCCGCCGCTACTTTGGGCACCTCCGCAGAGGGATGCTACGTACGGATGGACGCACAGGATGAATCAGGATTTAGATCGCGACTCGATCGCAAATTAAACGAATGAGCGCACAAGAGCACTAGCGCGACGGGAGAACAACAAGAACCTCCTCACGGTGAGAGCGTTCTCGAGCTACTGGCGGCCTTTCGCCGGCGCGCCGACAAGTTGCCGAGCGCCGCACCGTCGGTGCACGCGGAAGGAGGCGCGCGAGCGCCGGTCGACAGCGGCGTGCTCGTGTGCGCGCGCATCGTCTATCTCCCTCTCGGCCACTCGTGATCTATGGCTATGTTGGAGGTGCGCCTAGGCCTCGTCGTCGTTGTCATCGTCCACGTTGTTGTTGTCGTCGTCGTCGTCGTCGTCGTCGTCGTCGTCGTCGTCGTCGTCGTCGTCGTCGTCGTCGTCGTCGTCGTCGTCGTCGTCGTCGTCGTCGTCGTCGTCGTCGTCGTCGTCGTCGTCGTCGTCGTCGTCGTCGTCGTCGTCGTCGTCGTCGTCGTCGTCGTCGTCGTCGTCGTCGTCGTCGTCGTCGTCGTCGTCGTCGTCGTCGTCGTCGTCGTCGTCGTCGTCGTCGTCGTCGTCGTCGTCGTCGTCGTCGTCGTCGTCGTCGTCGTCGTCGTCGTCGTCGTCGTCGTCGTCGTCGTCGTCGTCGTCGTCGTCGTCGTCGTCGTCGTCGTCGTCGTCGTCGTCGTCGTCGTCGTCGTCGTCGTCGTCGTCGTCGTCGTCGTCGTCGTCGTCGTCGTCGTCGTCGTCGTCGTCGTCGTCGTCGTCGTCGTCGTCGTCGTCGTCGTCGTCGTCGTCGTCGTCGTCGTCGTCGTCGTCGTCGTCGTCGTCGTCGTCGTCGTCGTCGTCGTCGTCGTCGTCGTCGTCGTCGTCGTCGTCGTCGTCGTCGTCGTCGTCGTCGTCGTCGTCGTCGTCATTGTCATCGTTGGTCAGTGGTACCGAAGAGAGTTGAGGAGGAGGAGTTGGCGGAGGTAGAGGAGGAGGTGGAGGAGGAAGGTAGAAGTACGGAAACACTGTTTTGCTTAACTTCGTAGCAGCTCAGGGCGAGGATGACGGCGATGGGAATTGGTGGGAGCGTAAAACGCGGACCGTTGCTCCTCTCCCGAGGTCATGACTCCGTGTATGTTTACTTTGGATGATCCATGCGTCCAAGTGGCAAGTTGGTGTGCGTTGCTATGATGGAACGAATGCGCATTAAAGACCATATGCGAGTAGCAATAGCAGCAATAGTTTCATTCTTTCTTAGTTATTGGGTGCAGATGAAGAATTATAGATCCTCGATCTTCGAATTATTTTGGATGTAGGATGAATGTGGATGGTAACATTGGCTCGAGCGCTCCTTGGCTAACCTTAAATGCCAAGTATTTTTTAATCTCTTTAGAATGCGTAAATGGCGTTTTTGTCTTGGATGTTTATTGTATAGGCAATGAGCAACCGAACGCGGGACAGTTTTTATTTCCTTAGTGTTCTATTGTCAAGTTGATGAATTCCATTCTATTCGTTTTCCAACATTTATAAATATTTCGCTGCTCTTAATGACGCTCATGGATAAATGTGCTTTGCATAATCATCGATCGAAATACAGTAAGTCGTTTGTTCTTCGATCGTTTTATATTTTTCATGAGTTTTGAGAGACAAATTAATAAGGCATTATTGCGTCCCTCTTTTGGAGTCTTTTAAGATCTTCCTTCTTCTTTCTTCTTTTAAGATAAGTCTTCCCAATATTCATTACATGCCAGAATATATGAAAACTCCAACCTGATTATGCATACGAATTCTGATAGAGTTTATTTAAGAAAAGCATACAACTACGAATAATCTCTACCGAGCAATTACAAACATTGATAACGAAGTTGGCGTTTAGCGCTTCAAGAACAATAATAGTAGCATCATGGGCGATTAGAAACATTATGAAAATATTATTTGGAATGTCTTATTTTTTTTCTTTCTTTTTTTCTTTTTTTCTTTTTTTAATATGAGAAATGTACCGTCCGAAGAATAAAATGAAATATCGAACGATTCTGCAAAATTCATTCGAATGATTGACAAGGGTATTATAAATTATTATAAATTTACAAATTTACCGCGCGTTCGATTTTCAATACTTAGTATTAAAAGAGGGATTTGACAAAAGTGTGATATCGTGATGATATATATGTAAGGCCACCGACGCTAATGCAGGCATTTTTATTATTTTTATTATTTTTCGTTGAAATATTTTCAAATTTTCGACAGTAAAACAGTAAGGCCATTGGATAATCGTCCATACTGAATATATGGACACACATGAAGATCTCATATTTACTCCATTAATATATGCATACGTAATTGTCGGTGGCGGCGGCGGGGTGGGAGAGAATGAAAAATTAAGGAACAATAGTATTTTACGAGATAAACACAAGAACCCGCCATAATCTTTGAAAAAAAAAAGTAAGACAGAATTTCGATTTTACGAGAGTAGAAAATATTCCACTCGACCTTTTCTTCTACGCACATTCGCCCATCCAAGCATTAATGCAATATAACATGGAACATTGTTGACCGACTCTCTTTTTCAAAATTTGGTTTCGTTTCGCCCGGCGGCGCATTTAGCCTCGTAAAAATTAAAAACTGCTAGAATCGTTTGTGCTCGGTCATTTCTTACTGCATTTTTCTTTATCTTTTTTGCGCGTTACGGGGCTCGAGCATAGCGTTGACCTTTCTGTTTGGATCTGTCGAGCGCATGTTCTCATGTATATTTTAGTTTTGCGACCGCGGGCGCCTGCAGCACAGCTTTTGTTGCGCAACCAACGGCTGCAAACTTCCTCACTCTTCTTTTTACGCTTTCTTCATCTAGGGCGGGACGGTAGTGGGGAGTTGGGAGCGATGAGGGGTCAGGGAGGAGCGACACACATTGTTGCAAGTGTTAAACGTGCCCTGGATTTGAACGCTCCGGTGAAAATTCCTTGTCGTTGCACTTCCCCCTCGGCGACACTGACACCAGACTCATAATCTCCGCCAACGTTACACCCTAAGATGAAATGAGCCATCCCATTAAAACGAGCTCTGTTTTGATTTGTGAGATTACGATTGTAGTGGTTATATTATATATATATATATATATATATATATATATATATATATATATAAGAAGAAGAGAGTATTGAGTGTTATATAAGAAAAGATGTTTTGTCCGACAATTGTAAAATGATTTTGTCGAATTGTTTAACGGGAGCGAGCTTTAAAAATCGTTCATCGAACTCGGAGGAGATAAATAACGACGGTCGCGCTAGCGTACACGGGTGCTACGCGTGTAAATAAGAAATTCATTTTAGCCAAATAAAGCAAAATCTTTTCAATGGGACTCGAGTTCTCCGTTAAAAGAAGCCGAATAAATATTTATCTACTCGATATGAGAAACTTGTGCTAAATTCCATATGCGAACATATTTGGCTTTGCTTACAATCGTTGCATCCATCACCTAATGCAATGAAATTGAAATCGCATCGGCGTGCTGAATCTCGCTCTCATTTCGAGTTACATAGTTCGGTGAGGCGTAATTGCAGGCAACGAGGACGGCGAAAGAGAATCCAGGGTAGCGGCAGCCGTTTGTCCGCGTAAGAAAGTCCAAATATTTTTCCGACTCGATGTGCAATTTTCCGGGAACTCGGGGCCGCCCGAGGGAAAAAACCAGCTGTCGATTGGCTCGAGTCCGGCTTAGTGGGGATAGGCGACGGCGGTATTGAGTGATTCGAGGGGCTAGGGCGGGGGACCTTCTTGACACGGTGATGGCGATGGCGGGGGGGGGGGGGG